CACATAAAAAGTCATTCAGCTTTCTTAACTATACACCGCAGTGTCGCGTTTTTTAAGCTTTAACTTGATAATTTCAAAAAAAGATTTTGGGGTTTTGGCAAACTTTTCAGGAAAATAGACCACAGTGAATCGTGCCAAATTTAATATACTCAGTTAGTATTATAAATAAAAGGTTAATAAACAATAAATATTTTTCGAAGAGCGGCGTCGCGTTAGGGTCTGTAAAAAAGGCTTTCTGGCTACCAGGATGTCATGAAACGGCGCCTGTAATAGATCATTTTGAGTCAATTGAAGACATTAAACATGAATAGTTACGCGTATTAAAGCCTATTCCAGAAATTGAATTTAAGAACTGAATCAAGGATTAGCAAAAACGTGGCTACACTTTGGGATTACTTTGAGGGGGATGATATAGATCTCGAAGAATGAATGAAGAAAAAATAATTAAAATTATGAACAAAGTCCTACTATTTTTTATTTATACTTGCGTAGTAAGATCGATCTAGGATATATTTGTATTCACAATTCATAAAATTATTTTAGATTTTGAAAGATTCGCATAATTTATTTTTAAGTCTTTATTTACATTTTACATAACAGAGTTTTGAATATAAAAATACATTCCAGTAAACAGAGAATAAATTTCCAAAGCAATAAAACTCCTTTTATGAGCAAATATTTTATAATTTTTCAGTTGACAATCTCCTTTTTCCCACCGTTATTGATACCTTTCCTGCTGGGACCGCTTTCTCTTTTCTTCACTATATTTCCCAAATCATCCGATAATTTATCTAGATGAGTGCGGAGATAGGGTATTTTCATACCCACATTTGCCCATAGACTCTGAAAGTTTGGCAGTATATTTTTCCCAATATCTTCGTAGTTTGGTGCTCTGTGGTTAGCTAGGAAATTTTCGACTATCTGCACAAAGCTTTTCCAAACTTCAATTTCCAGCGCTTAATAAAATCTTTACCATTCATTAAATTGTTTATTCCATAATTAAATAGACATCATATGTTTCTAATTTTTCAGACAAAGCTTCGAAAATATACTAGGAATGTGATCACAGCAATATCTTTCTGCGTTCACCTGCTTTTTGAAACATTGCTTTATCATTTATAACTTGGCCACTTATTAAATCACTGAATTCACTTAAAAAAGCAACTGTGACGCAGATGATATTCAACCTTCCATTTGCTTTCCCTAATAGACTGGCACAACTCAAATACAAAATCATCCATCTTTTACCCTTCTCTTGAACCTGGTACGCAAGAACGATTGCTTCTAAACAGAATAGTAAAAGTAATATTTCTGCTGTCCAAGTTCTAGTTGCTGTTGACATTGAGATTATAGAGGTGAAACATCAGAATACTAAGGTGATGAGACTGATGAAAATCCTGACGGTTTTATTCAATCAGAGTTAAATTACATGGTTCTAAATGCAGGACTATCGAAAGAAGTTTTAAAACTATTAGTGTCAAGATTGATAGAGGTAAATTGTCTTGTTTCAGGAATTCTTATAAGGTTCTGTAATAATCGAGATGTTTAATTCAGAAAATATGTCATAAATAACGATAATTCAGTTTACTGCTACGATACTGATGGACTAATAAACGAATATGACATATTCATGACGTTTAAAGCAGTCTATGCTACACAATGGCAACCAATATACTTCTGTACCAGTTGCTCAAGCCGTAGTATTAAAAGAGGAATACTACAACCCCCAATTTTGACTCAAAAAAATAATTAGAATATGATAAACTCATTGGCAATTGTGATGTGAATTAAAGAGCCCGCGACAAACATTATTCGCAAAACGATTGTACGCTTAATAAAACTTTAACTCCAGGTTCTAAGAATGTCATAAAAGAGAGTCTATTACCAGAAAGTAAATTAATTTTTCCACCACTCCATAAAAAACTGTATCTTTTTAAACAATTGAGAAATACGAAACGACATCGTTGAAGTTGTTTTTGTCTTGCCCAAAAATGGGATAGCATTGAATATTTATTATATTTAGTAGCGCTATCGCAAATCATAATGATTTTTATGTCATACTTATTCGGGTTACTAGGTAAATACATTTTGAAAGGATAACGTCCATGAAAAGCTATTCGTCGATTGTACTATAGCTTCCTGGAGTAAAATTATTATTGCACTGTTTTATTAAGAGATTCCACACCTTCCTGACAGGTACAAATACATCGCTGGGAAGCAGATCAAGTCTCAATGCTTTATCATCCGTCCGCAGTCTACTAATTAAAAATTGAATCACGACTCATGGCAGCAATATACCTATCTCCTCTGTCGGTTGTATTCAATATCTGACTAGCTGACAAGTGATTATTCTTCAAAAGTGCGGTCAAAGTCTGTACTCCAACAAGAGCACGAATTTCAGGACAATTTGTCAATGCGAACGTCTTGTGCTAGTCAAATTAGTTGTTCGTGTTAGAGAGATACATTCGTTCACTGAACTAATTCTGATATTATTTCGTCAGGGAAAAAGGCATTGAAGGACGAAATCGGATCATACTATATAAGTTTTTACATGATTTTGTGCAACCCCTTATTGTTCGAAAAACATTCGTCGATAGAACTCTACCGGCATTTATTCCCATCAAGGTATTCCATCAATATTGACTTTTGCTTCTTAATGTTGGCTTACATACTAGCCTGCTGTCTACAGACGAACTATTATTGTTGGTTTCTTCGTATTTCGGGTCTGACGATATATTTTCGCGATTATCCTGCACATTAAGATCTTCATCTTCCGCGTCACTTTCTCGCATCACATCCTCTTCTAATACAGCATCTCCTTTTTCACTTTCATTTTTTGTTGAACTACATTCATCTAGATTTGTTAGATAAGCAGCTTTAGCAGCGTCGTCTAATATTCCATCTTTTTCTATTTTATACTTATATGTACTACATTTTAATAAGATACACAATAACTAATAATCACTCAAAAATTGTAAAAGTAACACAAAACATGTCTCGCAGACGTATGGCTTGGCGGTTTCTCAGAATATACAAAACTTACTAACAAAAGTCAACTACCACTGGAGTGCTATATGTAAACACTGAGATTAATGCAAATATGCATGCATTGTAAAAAAAAATTGTATTAGGGACAGCAAAATGTAAAAAGATCGTACGCCTCTCAGACGTACGTTATGAAAGCAACGTTTACGAAAACGAAAAATGTTTCAAGCGAATCCGACATTTTGAATTTTCAAAATCTTAGCTCAGATTCGCAATCAGTGACCCCAAAAAGCCTCGAGTAACAAGTTTCATGCAAATCCATAAATATTTAAAAAAAGGGTAAAAAGGTGATTTTACCATTCAAAATCCGTAATGTTTTTTTAGGTTTGTGAAAGTAACACCTCAACCACTTTTTTTGTGGAGCTTTTCTCTATATATAGTTAAATATCTTATTGCTTATCAACTGGCATTCAGTCTAATTGTCTACATTCCACTCGGTAAGCAAAGACTACTACGGGGTTTCGCTAACATTATAGAGTAATAACGTTTTTTTTTTTATATTTACGTTCTACGATTTTTTATATTATATAAAACTTGTAATTTCTCTTACGTACAGCTCTACAAAAACAAAAACAAAAAATTACAGCACATTTTTTTCGCGCATTCAAACGTCACTTTATTCTTATTCTCAGGCTCCTTACACAAATATCTGCAAATTTAGACGAAACATTTTAAGGTTTTACTTAAAATAAAACGTGGGGATATCTACAATTACGGTCTGCAAAATGTCCTGTTTTACTCAATGGAAATTTCGTTTTCGTTTCAAAAATAATTTGCATGGAATGTTGGAATAAATATTGTTACAGTCTGCAAATAGATGTGAATAAGAACGTGAAACATTTACACCAAAGTGAGGAAATGAACTCACTGGTTTAATCATCAAGCTAGGAATGAAGAGACAATTTGCCAATAGTTTTAGTGATTTCTTTTTTCGAAAATTCCCGACTTAAGTATGGAAAAACTAAAAGGTGAACTGTTTATTGGTCTTCAAATACAGCAATTTATTAAATAAACAGATTTTATCAAAGATATGACTGTTCCGAAAAGTTAAAGCAAAGCAAGCATGTTTAGTGTTGATAGTCCAAATTATCCTAAGTAATCACAAAGATCAAAATTATAAAGAAGACATACTTCAAGATTATAAGAATAAATATAAGTATCAAGTTATGGTGGTATTTATGGTGCGAAACAGAGGGAGCTGTTAAAAGTGATGGAAGAGAGATATCAAGGTTGATTGGAAAAAGACTCAGCTTACGCGGTTATAGCCGGATTAACAAGAGTGACGGGAATAATGAGTGACTTATGGAGTTTGGTCTTTGTTCGTCGAGAGTGGACTTTACTTCTCAATTGCCAACACAGTCCGAAGTATCACCTTTGGCAAGACTTATTTTGAGTTAGGCTGACATTATTGTTGGTATTAATACTGCTTCTAGTCAACTCGCGAGTGCGAAGGCTGTTTTGTATACCTTTACTTTCATGTACCAAATACAAGAATAATAGCTTTCATCAGTAGCAAGATGTTTTCGGTTTCATTGAAACCATTAGACGGTTACGTTTTCAGATTTAGTTATACATATGATTGATAAAAGAAATGGACCTGTGAAGTAAATTATAGCTCGGTGCTGTCAAAAATATTATTATTTCTTTTTTGTTTATATATCGGCCAATATTTGAAATATATTAGAAATATATTTCCTAAGATTTTGTACTTGATTTCAAAAATTTAAGAAATATTTCCTTCTAATTTATTTGTTTCCGCTTGGCCTAAAATCCGATTTCTTTAATCATAAGTACGTAATCTTAGGAATAGCACATGCCTAAGTGATTTGATACACAGTATAAAAAAAGTATAGACATTTGGTTTTTACACAAATTTCGGGTCTCAAAATTTACTACATAATGAAGAAATATTTATAAGTTCCCATATGTAACAGTATTTTTAATTTGCGTTTTAGAACCTTGAAACGGATGACCAGGAACCAATGTTAAGAGCAGATGTCGAACTTTTTCAAGGAAAAATCGTTTTCAATTTAGATGGTAATGCATTCATAATCGCTACAGAAAGCTCAACGCAAGATTCAATTTTGAATGGTAAGCAGATTTTTTACATATTCTATTATCATATTTCCTAAAAAACGGTTATATTCAAATATCTGTGCTGATTATTATTTGTTAGTTTAACCCCCACAAATTAAGCAAAGCTCTTATTTAGGATATTTTTTTTGGAAAATATAAGTAAATTGTTAAGCTAGTAATACTCACTGAAGCTATTAGGAGTTATATTCATTCGTAATTTTCAAAATTTATGGACTATATTTTTAGTTTGATGGCTACCACAGGAATGAAGCGAAAGATTTCTTCAAAATATAAATCTATTTGGCCAATTAGTGAAAGCATTTGAAGTATTTTAACAAACAATGGACGGAAAATGTTTATTCATATATGAGGAACTCCAATTTGATCTTGTGGTTTAGGTCCTTTTGTTTTCGGTTTAAGTTTGTGAAATCGCCTGTCCGTATATACGCGAACTACTCTTCCAGTTTTTGAGATATCGATCTGAAACGTTCTTCTCTTTTTAAGAAGCTGCTTATTATTTGACGAGAAATCTTCAAGAAATTTGGCAGGGGATATTGTCTACAGCAGTGATGAACTCTCCGAAAAAAATTTTAGATCGGATCACTATAGATAGAGCTGTCATTTAAATAGACCCATAGAGAAGGAAGTGACAAGATGATTCCACGTCGCCTTTCTCCTTCCTTGTGAAGAGTATTATTTGCAAATGTTGGTAGCTCTATGGACTAAGTATATTAACAACTCCTTTTAAAGTCTGAATAGTCAGAAAAAACTTAAGACTTTTATTAATTATAAAGAAGTTTATTAGTGAATTATTTATTTTGTTGTCATTCAATTTAGGTTTCACAATACAAATTCATAATGAAACAAGTTAGCTATGTGCCATTTCTTGGTGCACTTTGCAAAGAATTCTTATGTGCGAAGAATGATAAAACTTTTTTGGAGTAATACCAAGCCTTGCTCCATATAATGGTTATGTTTAAAAATACCAAACATGTTTGCTAAAAATTTATGAAATTGATTCAGACCGTCCCCTAATCCCCATAGTAAGTGACGTAATAATGTTCGTTATTGCATTTGACTCTATGCTGAATATATCGGTCACTACGTTAGATATGTAACAAAAGTTAATTCCTTATGTTTAATTTGAGAGGGTTTTATAATTTTCTTTCCAAAATACATTCAATAATGTATATATGCGATTTTTTATACGAGGAATGAAAGTAAGTGGAAATATTGCCTTAAATAAAATATGCATTTGTGTCAAAATTAGAACAAATTTGCTTAGCATCGAGTCGCAGCTCCAACTTCAATGATATGTTGTTAATAGAAATGTCAACTATAGTATAATCTAATCTGATACCAAAAACATGCATCAATGGTTGTATCAGGTGACAATTTCGTCTATTATTAAACAGTTGTTTTAAAAGAACTATATTTTATAAATTTTTTTTAGACAAACTATACTTTCTTCAAATTGCGAAATCATCTAGAGTTCGGATGTGAAATCAGCCCCTCTTTATTTTATTTGATTATAAGTTATTCTTAAATGATGGACAATTCAACTAATTTTTTAGTTCTGAATTTCATGTCATGAATTAACAGCAAAAACAGTACAAAAAACGACTGAATCTAAGCAATTACTGGCGTCAAACGTGGTTGGGGAAACAAATATTGCAACCATAAGCGTAACAACAACTACTGTTGCAAGTGCGCCAAAAACAACATTGAGTACATCATCGTCTACGATAGAGGAAGCACCAGGTGGTCGGAATGGACAAAGACCCGATGCGTTAAAATGCAGCACAAGCCCTCGTATACATTCATTTCGAATTGTGAGTGCTCAGGATGCTACAACTGCCAACGTTGCTAACACTACCACCACCGACAAAAGCAGTGTGGAGAAAACGGAGTTCAGAAAATTGTATATCGAACAGCAACAGCGTAGCCGATACAGCACCTTCGACGACAACGATAGCGATAGTAGTAATGGCCACAAAATATCTTCCAAAATACAAAAGCCGATATTGATGTGCTTTATATGCAAACTATCATTTGGGAACACAAAATCTTTTAGCTTACATGCTAACACAGAACATCAACTGACACTACAAGCAAAAGAACAGCATTTATTAAACCGCGAATACTCGAGCGTAATTATACAGCCGCAAAATATGGATGAACGGCCACAAATATCATTCCTTGAGCCAATTGATGTGCTCAATGGAATCCAAAATGACAATTTAAATTCTGAGACTGATATTCATTTTAATGAGGGTACATCACAAGTATTTTCTTGTAGGCTAGATAGTACGGTTGATACTTCCAATTCTGAGAAATCGACTGCAGGATGTGTAATACGTGAAAAATCGGAGAAAACAGCGCCAATATCGTCAAACTCTAATTCACTATCGCCATCTTCATCGTCAACTTCCCCAGTGTCATCAGTAGTTCCAATAACACAGACAGCTTTGTCACCATCAAAAACAGCACCAAATACGTTGTCCAGCGCAATTGACTGTATTAACGATAGCCATCTATTGCTAACAACCTCATTTTCAAAATGTATGCTCCAAGAGCAGCAATATGAGATGAACGTTCCTGTGCCAACGACAGCAGTAACAACACTGTTATCAAGCCCTAAATTTGACAGCAGTGCACAACAGCAGCAGCAAAAAATTAAGGCAAATGTACCCCTAGAATCCGTCAACAGTACTGATTCCAAAGTTCAAAGTGCATCGATATCACCATCACTGTTTCCATCAACAGAAAATAAGTTAGCAGCTTTCACACTCTTATTACCAAAAAAAGAATCAGAAAATATTACTAAACTGGACGATACATATAGTTTGGACACTAGTACTGCATCTGAAAGCGTTTTATGCTCAAATGCTGATGTTCAATTGAAGCCCAAATTGATAGCGTCCCCAATCTCTACAACCAAAAACACCTCTGTGACCTGTGATATGGGCAATAATTACGAACGCGGTTTATATTCAGATGGCACCCTTAGCCCACCTTTGTCAACATTTCGGAAAAGGCATGATAAAATGCTAGGAATGTCCACATTATCAGTTAATGCTCCAATTACTCAAGGTGACTTTGTACATTCTCAAGAGCCTTCAGGAACAATTTCAAAGGAAGATAATATGTTGAATTCAACAGATACACTGGCAGCCACAGTTACATTTTTGCAGCAGCAGCAACGACAAATTGCAACAATGGCCAGTAGCTCCTTTGACAGTCCTCAACCGGGATTAGTGACCATTGCACCCACGCCTACTCAACTCAGCTGCTTACAAGCTTCTTTGGCAGCTTTATCTGATGACATAAATGTCAACTGTGGTACTACAGATGCACACAAAACCAACGCTAAATTGTTCACTGATTTTTTGCAACAGCATCTTAATTTACAGCAGCAAAAAAACTTTTCCGACATTAGTGGCAATTATTCCGAACATGCCGACCATAACGATGGCGAAAATTGTGAAATTCAACAATTAAAGACGCCTCCGTATCACATTTCAAACCACCAGTTTACCAACAACACGTCGCAATTCTCGCCAAATCGCAATAATGGCAGTCGTACCAATAGCGCTATTATGAAATCTCCTGCACACATGGCCACATCTCCTACAGCTATCAATGTCTCAACTGCGGCAGTAGCAGTGACAGCGACAACCCAGCAACAACATGCAGTTGCTGCTGTGGCTGCTGCAGCAGCAGCAGCGGCCGCAGTCTCAGTGGCTAACAATACCCCAAGTTTTACTATCGGTGCATGTTCGGACCACATCAACGGAAGGCCATTAGGCGTTGAATGCGCTCGGTAAGAATACTCTATTACTTGATTCCTTGACATAGATACAACTTTTAAAATAGTAAATGTATTGCGAATTTTATCATTTCAAATTTTTTAAGTTTATGATTGTACTTATATGTATTATGTGGAGTTATCAATCAATGATCCCTGTATATTCTTGTTTCCAGCCCTTTCGCAATAGCAACATACTCTAAATCTAAACGAACGTACATAGACCCAGAGATGTTTCGAAAATGCTGGAAGCAAGAACTTCAATGGTTTATACTAAAAGAGCAAACTTTATATGAAATGGTTATAACCACCACCTTGAACTATTTACGAAACATTTATCACCCCTGACAGCGAAACACGCCTTGATAAAAAAAAAAAATGGTTAGAAAGCATAATATTGTCGCCAACCTTCCATTCAACTGCATTCCTCAACATTATACAGAAGATAATGATGTGACTACATGATAGAATTTAGGACTTCAGATGTAAAAAAGCTTTGGCGAAGTTTCTCATCCAAATAAACACAAATATCCGTAATCACGACATCAACGTTTAATCTGAAACTTACTGATATAAACGGTTTTAGATAACCGATACAACAGATCTTGGCCGAATAAAATCAGGTCAATTTCGTTAACCCAGAGGCGGCTGTCGTTCTGGATAATGTAGCAAGTTAAACTTCTTTTTAACAAAAATCGACCAACCCGAAACTTCGGCATATATTATTATCAGTACATACTACAATATTCGAATATTTGTTTTGATTGTTTTGATCAAAATCAAGTATTCAAATATTCAAGATTCGGTCCGACCAAAGTTAATGTATTTCTAGTTCGTATATATTTCCTTTGCATGTTTTAAGGATTTGTATGCTTAATCGAATAAATGAGCACGTTATCAACTCATGGGAAGATGTGTATAATTTTGTCAAAAAAGTCTTGCGGTATTTTCGCTAGTTGGCGCTGAGAGCGCGTAGTTCTAGTTTTATTCGTCGCATCGGGTCATGCTATACCTTTTTGGAAAGCTCATTTCACGCGCTAACACGTGTTTGGTTGATTGTCTTTTAAGTCGTTCGTGAGTTATAGCGTCGCAAACATGGAGCAAAATAAAGAGAAAATACGGCATATTTTACAGTTCTACTACGATAAATGCAGAAATGCATCTCAAGCCGCCAATAAAATTTTTGCAGTTTATGGACCCGAAACAGTTTCCATTTCCACCGCACAACGATGGTTTCAACGTTTTCGTTCTGGTGTAGAGGTGGTCGAAGATGCGCCACGCGCCGGAAGGCCTGTCGTCGAAAATTGCGATAAAATCGTTAAATTGGTCGAAAGAGACCGGCATTGTAGCAGCCGTAGCATCAGTCAAGAGCTGGGCATGAGTCATCAAAAAAAATTTTATGAACAATTGAAAATTCAATAAAAAAATACCGCAAGACTTTTTTGACAAACTTATGTATCGTACTTACACATAGCAAGCGTAAAGTGCCTCGAGGATATTTTGCATAGCTTTCAATGAATTCATACAATAGGCAATTAGTTGGGACTTCATAAACTCAATGCTTAAATTATTTCATGAAAGTATTGAAAACTTCGTACATATGTACATGCCTACATAACTGCCTTTTCTATGTCTCATCGTGGGATTCCATCCCCTTCTTCAGAATTAAGCGTACGTTTTGCCTCGTTTGCATCTCTGGGGAATCACGGAAATCCCAACACACTAACCAAACGTAAAACCGATAAAGCAATCTCAATTAAATCAAATACGCAACCTCTTTCATAACTTAAATGAACAATTGCATGAATATAAATAAAAATATGTCCAGTATTGTTACAACAAACTGTATTGCAGCTGATACAACGGCAGGCATACAATAAAATACCTACCCAGTGGTGCGGGTATCTCATTAGCTACCGATTTTATGCAATTTGCACAGCCCCAAAATGCTCTTCACAAAAGCATAGAATAAATATACATGAGCATTGGTAATTTTTTATTATCAGTAATTTCTATTATTATTAAGAGTGTGTCGAGACTTGAGAGACCATACAACTCCTGGTAGCAACAGCACACAGATAAATGCGAAATTAATATAAAAAGAAAATTAAGAATCAAATATTTATACAATTGGAATACACTGTATTATAGTATATGAAATAATGATTATTTTCATCTGAATAAATAATATAAAGAATGGATATATTAATTCAAATTACATTACCGAATTACGCTAAAAGTCTTATCATATAACTAAATAAATTTATTTAACCAAATCATAATGTCAAAATCTCCCAATACTTATCTCTTCTTTGTTTATGTGGCAGGTGCGAAATAATTTTAAATTCAACGCGACTTAATACTGGCGTTCAAATGTCAACTCGCAATTCTTGTAAAACATTGAAATGTCCTCAATGCAATTGGCACTACAAATATCAGGAGACACTCGAAATACATATGCGTGAAAAACATCCGGATGGTGAGAGTGCTTGTGGCTACTGTTTGTCAGGTAAGTAAACTTGTTATGTTTCGTCTATCAAGTCTTTTCATGACACGAATATTCCAACGCATTTTATATGACTGTTACTTGCAACAACTCAATACATATATGTATACAATAATTCATTGTTTTTGCATTTTTTGAGGAAATTTACCATAGTAAGTACATTATGGGGTTAAGTGAAGATGGATAGAAAATTGGTTAAGTATTAAGTTTCATAATTATATTGAAACCCAAACAATTAGATTAGATCAGTCTAGTTGGCTAATGACCCATGCATATACTAGTTTGGTCCTCTGTTATACCAGATGAACTTCCGCTGTGAGGTCTATGAAGAGAAGTCATCCTTTATGATACCTGGGCTTGACGCGAATTTCAATAGACTCTGTGACCATTCTTCTCAATTTGTCAGCCCCATTATGGAATCGTGTACAGCCGAGTGATAGTGACCAATGAGTATTCCGATCATGTTTCTACAGCCCGTTCTATCCAGTTTCCGTAGGAATTTCGTGTAGTTCTGGTCTACCGCTTTACACTTGTTCCAACGTGTTTTGATTTTACTTACCATGCTTCTGTCCCGATAGACAATGTTGGCCACATAGATGTTGACTCTGGAGTTGCCTGTTTTAGAGGCTAGCTGAGCGGCTTTCGCAATAACAAAGACTTTTTCTCGAAATATTTTTCAGTTTGTGTCCAACGCTTTCTCAAGGTGCTTGGTGCGGTCCATGAGAGAGAATTGTGTCTCATTTACCGAAGGTTACGCCCATGGAGAGATTTTGCATTTTCTTGTGTATACAAGCATATCCGCTATTTCTGGCTTCAACCCCAGACGCGCTTGCGATGATTAATTCTGGAATGTATTGATATGGCACAGTCTTATTCACGGTTTAAATACCAATGTATGGAGTGCAATCTCTACGGATCTAATCTTTGTGTATGCGTTGTTTGGACAAGTATCCAGGAGGCGCCCTAATGTGTTCGTCTAAGATTTTCTCTAACGTTTTCAGCAGACGTGAAGTTAAGCTTATATGCCTAAACTCTTTCAAGTAGTTTGTTTCTACTTGTCTTTGGTATGAAAACTATCCTAACCTCTATGAGTGCTGCACATAGCTGTACTTCAGGAATCTCTAAAAATTTTCGTAATACAGACATTATTTGTTTATTTTATTTTATTATGCGCAATGATGTTTTCGGGAAAGTTCACATCAGTATTCAGCTAGGACTTACCGCATCCTTACAGCCAGGAAAGTGCACGCTAATTAGGTTTTCCATTGAGTTCTCACAGTTAGCTCTTCACTCCCGCAAATCTTGCGAATTAGACTGAGGGAGGCGAGGCTTTTCGTTAATGTTTTCTGAGATTTGCCACCTTGTGGGACTTTTCAAAGCTGCCACAAATTTTCTTCCAGGATTTTTGTGTTGTCCTGCGCACCAACTTTTTGTATTCCCTGAGGAGATCTTTTTCCTTCTTACAGCAGTCCTCGTTTTCTGCTAGTTTGACTCAGTTGAAAATTTCACAGGGTTGCAAAAATCGACTCGGTTTAGTTCAGTGGTTCGAAACACTTAGACAGCACCTCCGTTCGGTTCAAATGGTTCAGTTTTGTTATATTAATCGATATAAAAAACCCCACATGCGTATACATATGTATGTATGTACGGAAATAAAATGTTTTTTAATTAAGAGCAAATTCATGTTTAATATTTATTAAGACTTTGCAGCGTTAATTACCAAAATGAGTACATTTACCTCACCTAGTGTGAAACATACCAATAGTGGTTATATTATATACATATGTACATAGGTAGCATGACAATACTGACACTTATTATCAAGGTATAGTATAAAATAAAGTCAATTTTACTGTCTCTATGCCCCTTTGTATGCTTAAACCCTTAAAACTACGCAACGCATTTTAATGCGGTTTTTTAATAGATAGAGTGATTAAAGAGGAAGGTTTATAAGTATGTATTGTATATGAACATCCATTAAATAGTAATACTGTTATTTTTGAGTTTTCTAATGTGATGTCATAAATAATTAAAATTTTCCCCTTACGTTGCAAACCCTACGAGACTTATCAAAACAATTTACTAAGTATTGTACACATTGGAAAAGTCTACAGAAAACTACGCGATGGCACATGTATGTATGTATGTCTATCTCTTATGGATATCCCCCAACAACATTTACTTTTTATGACAAATAATGGCTAATTTTCGAAGCTATTTTAACCAATACAGTATTAATCGTTATACCTTGTTGACTTAATATAGATATATATGGGCTATTATAGCATATGTTTTAAATGTATATTTTCGAAGATATTACAAAATTAAAAATTGCGAGATGTAGCTTTTGTGGTGATACTATCCGGCCGGGGCGGCTCACATAGGAGCATTTGGTCTCAAAAACCGAACAAAATTATTTGAAGTGATTTTATGAATGAAAATGGATAAAAATGCGTGATTGAATATAACAATGCACTATATTAAAATAAAACGAGTAAGAAAGGGCTAATTTCGGGTGCAATCGAACATTTAATATTGAATATATTTGAGAAGGGGGTAGTATCGACCAGATTTTATCTATTTTTGCTCATTCCACATACTACTAAAATCCCACATACTCAAAAAATGTTTTTTTTTCTTCAATTTCATTTTAGGCGCAAAAATACACTGTAAACATTAAACATGTTCTGCAATTCAGTCATCGGCTAACTCTCTTGCAGATTAGACGTTTGTTTTTGCGCGTACGGATTTTTTTGATTTCGTTCTTTCTCAGCTCAGCCTATCCGCTTTTTCTCTTTTTTTCTTTTTCTGTGCATACGCATACTTTTGTTTACGTGAACTTTAAAAACACGTGCACCATGGCCCCGGGGCCACCAAACACTAACGCAAATCGATTTGCGTTATTAGATACTGGACCAAAAAGAAAGAAAAACAAAAGTGATTCAAGTTCCCTTCAAACCGATTTTCCCTTTCTGCCTCAAACTAAAGTGAATGATCCAAAATTTGTCGTGATTGAATCAACTGATCCCTCCAAGCCTATCTCATCTTACTCGTGCTTTGCAATCATCGTGGTATCAAACTAATTAGTAGTGAGGTTCACTCCATTTCTACTCTTCGTGATGGAAAACTACT